ATACAACGGAAGCAGCACCTCCTTATCCCTACTAGATATACAACCTAATGCATGTTTATAGTTGTGGTGTTGATGCAGTCTTTAAGTTGGGGGCCTAATTCTCTGTTGTGTCAGTCTTTTCTGGTGGCTGTGCCCTGTTCACTCCAACTGGGAAGATGCTATTGTACTATAAGCGAGGGGCCAAATCTTACCTTTCCTGATATGCCCTACTATTAGATATCCTGTTCCTTTCCTCTGTCTTCTCCTCATTTGAGCTTTTCTGGGGGTTTTGGGCCTTCCTTGCCTCACCCTTCCACCTGCCTCATCCCTCCAGAATGGCACCTATGCTGCTGCTTGTGCACGTGGCCCTATTTTAAAGGAGTGAGGAGAAGCAACGGATGCACTCTTAGGCCCTGATGCAGCGGTGCATTTAACTGTGCTTAACTTTGTGTATGAGTAATCCTATCCCTATGTAGCAAAGCCTATAACTGCATGAGTAAGCATGTGCTCAAGTGCTTTGCTGCGTAGGGATGGGATTACTTAAATGCTTAAATACATTGTTGAATCAGGAATTTGGTCATTTTCAATGTCCGTTCCTAATGGTGCATAGAGGAAGCAGTATGTCTACGAGCAGCCAGTGACCATGGCCTCCTCTGTGAATAGTCTGCAGTGTTAGAGAACACTGCATCTGCTACTACTACTACTACTACACTTAGCAACTCCAGTATGGCTTGTAGAAGTAGAGGATAAAACTGACTAGGGGTCACATTGGTATCACTCTGCGATGGGAGAAATGCAATGGGCAGGAGCCACAGCACAGCCTTACTACAGGGAAACGTCAAATGTTCGAAGGTGATGGAACACAACTCCTGCAATTGCTTTAGAAATTTGGCAGTCTTTCAGCTGTTCTGTGCTATGCTAGTAGCAGAATCTGACTGAGCTAGCATATCCAGCATTTGAAGGATTAGCCTGGTTCAAAGGAGATTATTCTAGTGGTGTAGGCCTGATTTAGAGAATCCTGTGCCACTTCCATCCCTGCAGTGGGCTGCTCTAACTTTTGACTAGGGATTGGTCCTGCATTCCATGACCCAAGGATCAAAGAAACCAAAGTCCTCTTTCCATCCCACTATAACTTGTGCTATATGGTTCTCAGCCAAGGACTTGGTCCAATAGGAGCAAAAACTAAATCCGTATTCAGGGTTTTCTAATTAAAAGATCTTTTAAAGTTACTGCACATATCCCTTTCCTTACCAATTATTATTTTAGAAGTTTAATAATAAATACTTGTAATTATAAATAATAAGCTAACTCAAGAAAGTGGAGTTTTAACATTGAGTATTTTAAAGCTGATTGACGTGTCTATTCTGTATTCCTTTTACACTAAGGGTAGGTCTACAGTGCAGTTAGCCACCTGCAACTGGCCCGTGCTAGCTGGCTTGGATTGCAGCCCGAGCTCTGGGACTCTCCCACCTCTCAGGGTCCTAGAGTCGGGGCTCCAGCCTGAGCCCCAATGTCTACACCTCAGTTAAATCGCCCCTTAGCCCTAGCCCCATGAGTCCAATTCAGCTGGCACAGCCAGCCACGGGTTTTTAATTGCTGCGTAAACATAGCATAAAATCACATTGGAGTGATTAATGGTGATTATTGGGGGCTTGGTGATAGGGAAAAGCTTGCCTTATGTTTTCTCCTATTTAGAAATTTTAACATTTCTGTGTAAAATACATTTGGATGTTTTTGAAATAAGCATTTTAAACGTGGTTTCCTCTTTTTCTCCTCCCTACCAAAAAATGTCTCCTGCAGTGACTTATGGGATGGTGAGTTCCAGTATGTACTATTACACTAGGGTAATGTCACAGCTCTTCCTGGAAACGCCTTTATCGAAAATGGAGAAAACCAATTTCAAAACCTTATCCACCATGGAGGACTTCTGGAAGGTGAAGGGAAAAAAATTATCTTCTTGTCACTATAAATTCATTATTTTTCCCCCTCTGGACTCTCAACTTTAATCTGTAAATATCTCTTAAATGCCCCATCGTAATCAACAAATGCTCTTAGGTCTGGTCTACACTTTTGCCAGTACTGTACAGCAATGTTGCCTGGGGATGTAATAATTTTTTTGTTTGTAACTACATTTTTATTCTGGCAAAAGCTCTAGTGTAGACACAGTATACATGGAGTGCAATTAAGTGCTTTGCTACTGAAGCTTATTTTGTTCAGCAAACTGGAATAAGCTATATGAGTAAAAACACTCTTTTGTCACTATAAGCTGCATCTACACTAGGAGAGTTTGTTGGTATACTACACCAGCAAATCTTTGTAGTGTAGACAAGGCCACAGTTACTAAATGCAATCCATTACAAGTGTTGAATTTAGGAATCTAGATGTCACAATAGATGAACACTTGCTAGATTCACTTCTAGAACCTGGATTTAAATCTTAGTTCAGGTCCCGAGAGAGAATATATTTGGTTCTGATATACTAATACAGTTACTTATCAGGTCTGGACATTACTGACCTAAGATGTGACACACCTGTAGAGTTGCTGATGTGTGTTACATCAAGTGTTGTTATTAGGAGTCCTGTTGATTTCATTGGTACAATAGAACCTCAGAGTTACGAACTGACTGGTCAACCACACACCTCATTCGGAACCAGAAGTACACAATCAGGCAACAGCAGAGACAAAAAAAAGAGAAAAAAACAAATACAGTACAGTACCGTGTGAAATGTAAACTACTAAAAAAGAGAGAGTTTAAAAAAAGACTTGACAGGATAAGGAAATTGTTTCTGTGCTTGTTTCATTTAAATTAAGATGTTAAAAGCATTTTTCTTCTGCATAATAATGTTTTAAAGCTGTATTAAGTCAATGTTCAGTTGTAAACTTTAGAAAGAACAACCATAACGTTTTGTTCAGAGTTACGAACAACCTCCATTCCCACAATGTTCGTAACTCTGAGGTTCTACTGTACTACTTGCATTTCAGGCTAACTACATGCATAATTCTGTGTGACATTTGGGCCTTTGTTTGCTGATCATTGACCTTTCACTCCTTCTGAGCCATTATCAGTCCTAGTCCTGCAATGTGCCGGTGCAGTAGTCTTGCATCGACAGGGTGTGGCTGTAGCAGTCTGCCCAAGCACGACACATAGCAACCCTATGTACTAATTCTTGCACTGTGTATTCAGGAGCAGTTAATGTACTAAAAATAATTAGAATATTTCAATATATCAAAATTATTTTGTATTCCTCCCATCTTCCAGAAAACACACTAGTCTGTAGACTGAGTAAAAAATTTTAAAATGACTTTTGCACTTAAGCGCCTAAGTTCCATTGACTTTTAAAGGCTCTTAGGTGTCTAAGTGCCAAAGTCAGTTTTGAAAAAAGACAAGCTCCTAAGTCATTTGGGCACTTTTGGAAATTTTACCTATTTAAGCCTACTAATAATTTTTCATAAGCCACTTTGATATATTTTAAGTTTCATATCTCTTATTTTTGTAACTCAAGCAGCCACATAGATTTTTGTATCAAACATGCAGAACAGTGCTTTAATGACTCTCAACTGCAAAGAGCATAAATATGAGTGAAGAAGAGAGCTGCATGTAGCTGAATTCATGGTAGCTTTAGTGGGAATGTTTTCCCTAGTGCAGACATGGCCACAGAGGATCGCTCCATTTCTAAAAACTCAGAATCGTTCATTCTTCCTCTCTTTAATCCTTTGCCCAGTGAACGTAGCATAGTTATCATACTTCTGATCATGGTGGGTTGGGGAAATTCCCTTGGAACCCATCAACACTTAGTTAGCTAAGAGGACTTTTTGCTAAGTAACTTTATGTAGCAAGAATTTTTTCTGTTAATAGACAAAAACTAACAATCGCAATATAAAACACATCCTTGGCAGGAATGGAGGTGTATAAAAATACTGAGTGTTGGCTCTGAATGAACTTAGCATCCCTAACATTCTTTCTTCCTCCTCAGTTCACAGAAGGCCCTTTGCTGGATGGTCTGTACTGGGAGATGTGGTACAACAATAAAACCGTGGCAGAAAACAAAAGTTTCATTTATTACGAAAATCTGCTTTTGGGGGTGCCTCGTGTTCGGCAAGTGAAAGTGAGAAATGGGTCATGCTCAATACCTGAGGATTTAAAAGATGAAATTAAAGAATGCTATGACGTTTATTCTGTTGCTAATGAAGATACTGCTCCTTTTGGGCTCCGGAATGGAACAGCGTATGTATTTCTCTCGCATCCACATAGCCAAGTGTGTGTTCTGCAATTCTGTGGGCATTTTTAGCTGATTCTCCAATGATATCTGGTACCTGCCAAAAGCAACATCTTAATTATTGCATGTTCTGCATGTAAACTCTTCCTTTACAGTTAAATCTAAAACAGTTGTCAACTCTAAATTAGTTTCTTCCACCTGTATGAAATCAGTCTATTGGTTCTGTAGAAGACTCTGTTCTTGGCCTTACTGGTTTAGGTACATCCAAGTCTGCTACAAACAGGTATTTCCATTGCCTAGAAATGCAACGTGATCGAAGCATGACAGTTGAAGCCAGAAGTCTCGACTTCTAATTCTGGATTTTACTGCTTACTCACTGTGAGTCTTTGGTTAAATTGTCTTCCCCATGCACAAAGTGGAAATACTACTTGTCTCCCTCACAGTGGTGTTTGTAAATTATTATATGAAAATGCTGCTTTTCGTTTCACTAAGAGAATACAACTCCCTGTGCCAATTGAGAGTATTCTGTTGTCAAGACATAGTTAATTTACTGTGACTTGTCATTATCTATCTTTATTATTAATTTTGTCTGTTAATATCAAGAGACCCTCTAGTGCTTCTTTCCAGGTTACAGATACCACAACTTTCTTATTAATATCTCTTTTAAAAAAAAATCCCAATTGCTATAATTTACGTGATCAAGCTTTTGTATATATGCTGTTACATATGAAAAGAGTAATTAATGTATTCTTCTCTTGCTGTCTTAAACTAGTTGGACTTACACCAATGAACAAGATTTGAATGGGAGCAGCCACTGGGGGTTGATTGCCTCATACAGTGGGGCTGGTTATTATCAGGATCTGTCACGAAGCAGAGAGGAGACAGCCGCACAGATTGCTAACCTTAAGAAACACTTGTGGCTGGATAGAGGGACCAGAGCAGCCTTTATTGATTTCTCTGTGTACAATGCGAACATCAATCTATTCTGTATTGTCAGGTATTTATAAAACTTTGGATAGCATGTATGTTCTCTCAAATGACATTGCACAAA